TCATTTTCAGATTTTTCCTTTATTGTTAGTTGTCTGCACACTTTCTTTCACTCCCACTCTCTCTCTCTCTCTCGCTATTTCTGTATGTGTCCATGTATGTGCTGTTTCACCAGATTTCGTTTTATATATTGTCTATCTTTTACTCTTAAAACGTGTTTCCAGAATTATTATCTCTAAAAGTCATTTATAAACATGTTACACAAACCTAATTTAGTCACCTAATCACTTATTGATTGATTAACTGATGTGTTTTGATGATAACAAATGAAAATAAAACTGGAACAATATGCGTTGAGTTCTTCTTGTTCCTTATTGGACTAATTTATGTACATGCTGTGCATGCTGTACCCAATTTATTAGTGATTGATTATAGAGGGGTGAGCTTTCAAAGTATTTCCCTTCAATTTCCAAAATACCAATGCATACTTTGCTATCAGTTTAGTAAACAATATTGAAGACTATTTACATTAAAAACTTATCATTAAGCAACTTCAATGATCCGAGGATGTATAGTGAACTCATCACAGTCGGACTAATTAATTGTCATCGTTTTTTACAGTTTTAACAGGAGACCTCTAAGTTTAACTAGATAATAAGAAAGTAAATTTATCTTGAATTATTTCGATACAAAGATTTGAAAACCATCAAAAAATATTCCAACAGTAATTCATGAATGTTGAGTGGAAAGTGTTTGACTAAATGGTGATTTCTTGTTAGTCAGTAAGTTATACATATATACATTATAGATCCATACATTATTGATCCTAATGCAACATGAAACTAATAATTTAGGAAATAGAATTGTATTATTTTTGGTCGGCATATAAAGACCTTCTATAATTTGAAGGTACTTTTCATCGAACAACTGAAAACAAGGAATGACCGGATAATTGTTTCATCCGAGTCGAATTCGGAACCCGTAAGGAGTGCTCCTATACCACCGCACCTAGGATCTAGCTCAGGCCTCTCAAAGACCAAGTTACTATTAAACTGATAAGTTGACGTCGAACTATTCAAATGTTCATTTCCAATCAACTCATTCTGTTACGAACACAATGTAGATGTGCACTAATATGGTCTGCCACTAGAGTGGAACTCAAATGTAACCTACATATTTCTAAAAGACACTGTTATTGGTGAAATGAATACAGGTGAAAGTATGGACCTATAGTTCTTAATGACAGAAGAAGTGAAGACACGAAAATTTCGAAGGATAATGGAGCTACAGAAATGCTGATGATCGTGGTTGCTGTTTTAGTCCACAAACATATACATCTCGATTGCGTGTACTAACTGGTTTCGAAATGCAAGCTCACAGATTTCGGTGGATTTAGTTACACCATAATGATATCACATTTTGAGATATGAAGATGATACCTGTCAATTCATGCACTACATGACATGATTACAATATAAAAATATTGTACGGATTCACGAACTCACACATGATATACTATCATGATGATGTTTGATGAACAACGTTGCAATAATTTGGCCGATAATTATTTGACACAACTTATGAAGCATACTTCTAAGGTTTAGAGGCAATTCACAACAACTTGGAGTCACTCGAAGGAGTCCCCACTACTTATTCGCTGACCGAAGTCTAGTTGTACGTTTATTTAACATTCGTGACAAATATTTCTGAAAAATTCACTGATTAATTCATAACTGGTCTAAACGGTAATTCGACAGATTATCATTACACATTTAATATAATCAAACCTGATGTGTTTGTTACCCTTGGTTAAAAACAAAGGTTTCAAGGTGGTGGAGAAGATTTGTAGCTCAGGTCGACGATTTTGATGGAGTTTCGTTCTCTGACCTGGATGGTTTGGTCGTGGATCTTTCTATCTGAAGTTTGTGCTGGTGATGTCGTTCAGAAGAACGATGAAAGCTCCACGACCAAACCATTCAGCTCAGAGAACAAAACTCCATCAAAGGTTTCAAGGATATTTCACTAGACAGAAATCAATATTTATATTTATTTGGTATGAAAATAGTAATTACAGAATTCGTGACAGTTTACAGACATGGTTAGATTGACATAGATGGCAATCTCAAATGGAGAGGACAGATATATGATATTACATTGTTTGAAGTGTTCGACTTCAAAAATTGTTTAGGTGGCATATATTTCACATGTATTACAACAATGCATGACTTCAGTCGGGAACTATTAAATCTCTTGTTAAGTGGATATTCTATTGATGCGTATTCGGTATAGTTGAAAAATTCGACGCCAGTAATTTTTTTCATCATTCTAGAGATAACTGGGGTGGTATTAATAGACCGATAATTCTTCGTGTCAGTCTTATCTCAAGATTTGTAGCATGTTATGATGTGCGTGGTTTTCATTAGTAAGGGTAAGTACCTATCTCCAGAGTGAGGAAGAAAGAGAGAGCGTGTGTGTGTAAACAGCTTTAGGAGGAGTAGTGTAATATTAGATCAATAATACTCATATAGAATGGATGAAATACCATCTACTGCATAACTGTCTGAGGCCTTAAGGGAGTTTATAGCTTTACTAATATTTAGATGAGTGAAAAAATAGATTTTATGGAGTTAACACTACCAGTATTCCAGTTTATTCCAGGGTAAATGAAATCTTCTGTGGTGACCTTCACATTTAGGGCAGATACACGTATAAATGTATTAACAATCTTGTCATTCACGTTATTAGAAGTGTCGGCGGCTCTGTATATACATCTCACGAGTAGACTGATTTGGGGTGTTGACTGATATCCAAACTGATTCAGGTTAACTACTCAAGACACTATCTTCAACTTTATCACATTGAGCAACTCAAGGCATACATATGACAACCATCTTCTTGTTTAGCCTCTCTGCTATAGCTATAAAACTGGTAGTTCTGGATATTTGGTTCTGAATCAGACACTGTCGAATAGCACCATGTTTCACTGACAAATATGAAAAGAGGTTTAGCTATTGAAGTCATGGTTCTGGAGGTGGAAATCATATTTTGAAGTGAATGTACATTGATTAGTAATGGGCTTATAGAGGAAGCATGGTGTGTAAACAATCCGATAACGATGTCATCGAAGTTATGCAATTTAGTGGTGACTGAATATGGTTCAATTTGATTGTCCGAGCGTGTAGGCTATCGCTTGAACAAGCTGTGGTGAGAGGGACCAGGTATTTCTGCAGGACAAAAATATCATTATTTCTGTAAGGTAAAATTATTTACAGAAATCGATATGGTGGACAGTTAAGAAAGTCATCTGCTCGTTGGGGTTGAGTAAATGGTGAGTAATCTAACAGTCTATCTTGCTCATTGGGAAATTGATGAAGATAGTTGTTTCTTGTAGGTTTAGTATAAAAAAGTTTTTGGTTCAATCGTGTGACATCTTGGTTCCTTGCAGTTTGTCCAGTAACAGGTTTGCTTACATTAAGGTTGTGGTGGGAGTCTTGTGTATCAGTTGAGCAAGGTATGTTCCATTGATTTAGAAAGTGAAATTTTGACAATTCGCCTATTGTTTGTGGATTTAGTTTGAGATGACAAATGGTGGATCGACCAGTTCGTGTCTGTGTGCCCATATAACCACCTGTATGACTAGAAACCACAAACCTGGTGTTCTGTAGTCTATATTTGTTTGGTTGAGCCTCTACAATACTTTTGGTACCGGTTTTTGAGCCAGACACTTCTATATTTAATTCCTTCTCACATGATTAAGATGTATCAATCTTAAGTGTTTCGAAAAGCTTCGTGTTAGGATTGGATGTTTGAGTATGCGCTTCTTCTGTTCTGATGAATGATATCGAATCAAAAGCATAAAGTCTGTGTCGACATTTGGTATACATTGGTTATCTGAGGTTGCAACAGGTTATGTGAAGTCTGTGGCAAGTTAGCATTCTTCATTAATAATTTAGAGTATTGGCTGACAAACGATATGTTGGTCACACAAGTGGGGCCTGTCGATGAACCAACTGAATCTGTTATAGTTTGTACATAATTATTTTCGTCTGAGATGTAGTGTGTGTTAGTCTTTGATTGGTGGTCTTATCTGTGACTAAACGGGGATTCCTGGACTTATAAAGTGCACAGATTAACCGTTCGGATTCCTTCAGTAGTTCAGCTGCTAAATGTGAATTGAACCTAAGCAAGATAGGGCACGAAAACTGCTGACGGTTTTACTAAGGTGAATACATTAGCATGGATTATCCTGAAAGTTAACTGACCTCATTATCGAATATCCCACTGGTTTGAGCGTGATTTTGTCAGGTACATTATAGAAAATCCTGTTTTTTCCAGAGATTAGTCGCCTAGAAACTTCTTTAGCAGTAAAATCGACAACATATTTTGATTTAATGATGTCTTCAAGATCAGCAGGAGTCACTTGGCATGGAGCACAGGCAGAAACAGATTTGGTATTATTCGAGCTATCAGAGCTTCCCCAGGCACGTTCCCTTGATCAACCATCCATTTTCACTTTAGTGTTATGCCTAATTCTATACATACGTTATGTACCAGGAGTAAATATAACCATATACCTATTTTCAGAGTGCATTTTATTGTAACACAATGATCAAACGTAGAATAAAGAATTTGTTTAAAGTTCAAACATTGTTCTTAGGATAGAAAAATACTCATGATTTTAGAGAAACTATACACAACACAGCACACATCTTAAAAAAATGTGTGAACTAGTCTTTCTTCGGAGTATACCACGTGATTTCATATTATCAGGAATTTCAATCATCGATATAATAATATCAGTCTACAAGAAGATATTGCATTTCGGTGAACCAATGAAAGTAAATCTTAAGTTAACTCAAGGTTAATCTTGTCGGTCAAATGGTACCATTGATCGAGGTCCATATTGATAGTCTATAGACGAGACAGCATACTCACGGTAGAATATTTATAATCAAAATTGTGATTGGTGAAGTTATCAAATGAAATTGATCAGTCGCTCACACATCTCAGTGACATAACAGTATAAATTATAGAGAAATTCTTAATTATATATATTCATAAAATGGGGACATTTCTAGGACATATTTATCCGGGACTTCTCGTAGTAATCATCGGATTACGTAATCTATGGATAAACTTGAGATCATTTTATACTGAAGAGTGTAATCATAATGGAAAGAATGATTGTCGAAATCCCTATGATTTCAAGAGTAATCTAAAAGAATCCATATTCTATATTATAACTGGGATAATATGTTCTGGGAATGAAATAATAACTGTTTTAATGTACGATGGATATTATTTTGGAGGGCATAGTTATCAACATATGACAATATTTATTGTGATATTACTTTATGGTGTGATTCGAATTATTCTGTCCTACAAATTACCTCATTTATTCAAGTAGGTTTAATTTTGACATATTTCAAATAATAATTTAATGGTCAGATTGTCGTTCAATATGAATAATCATAGAAACGTTTCAATGAATAAAATATTCAATAGATTAGCTAACAACTGTTCACATCTGTGTACATGAACTGTTGATATCGTCACTTTGTTGATATTCAATGTTAAAATAATCTACTTTGTTGTAGAAATAATATATTGTTAATAATTAGTAAAACACCATAAGCAAACAGGAAAGAGAGTGTAGAAAATAAAGCAAAACGAAACGGGATTGGCTCACATGCCTTATCTAGTTCGTTTCACTTTGTTCTCTACATTCACTCCTACTGACTTCCCTGTGTGCTTGCTTTCTATGTGGTTGCGGATTTTTACTAATTCTTAACAATATACTATCTTTACAACTGGTGTTATGGCTTTTGAATAAACTCGAGTGAATTCATAATAATACTAGGAGATTTGGCCTGAGTAAATACTCAGTCAATTGGATATTATTTATTGAAGTCAGATATAGAGGAATTAACCTCTACAGATATAGTACTGTAGAATTAGTTGACTGCAATATCACAATATACCATTATAATATGGGATATTTACCTTTATCTACCTTACTGACTTACGCCTGTTACTCCAAATCGAGCATAGGCCGCCGACCAGCATTCTCCAACCCATTCTGTCCTGAGCCTTCTTTTCTAGTTCCATCTAATTCTTGTTCATTTTTCTCATGTCTATCTCCACTTCCCAGCGTAATGTGTTCTTTGGTATTCCTCTTTTCCTTTGGCATTGAGGATTCCAGTTGACGGCTTGTCTTGTGACGCAGTTGAATGCATTCCTCATTGTGTGTCCTATCCACTTCCAACACTTCTTTCTGATTTCTTCCTCCACTGGGATCTGGTTTGTTCTCTCTCACAATAGGTTGTTATTGATAGTGTCTGGCCAACGGATACGAAGTATTTTGCGTAGACAACTGTTAATAAACACCTGCATCTTCTGGATGATGGCTTTCGTAGTTCTCCAAATTTCCACCCCATACAGTAGAACTGTGTTGACATTTGTATTGAAACTTCTGACCTTGGTGTTGGTTGACAGTTGCTTTGAGTTCCAGATGTTCCTCAGTTGTAAATATGCTGCTCTTGCTTTGCCGATCCGCGCCTTCACATCTGCATCAGATCCACTGTGTTCATTAATGATGCTGCCCAGATATGTGAAGGATTTTACATCTTCCAAATCTTTTCCGTCAATTGTGATTGGATTGGTGCATGCTATGTTATATCGGAGAATTTTGTTTTTCCCTTTGTGTATATTGAGACCTTCTGCTGCTGAGGCTGCCACTACACTGGTCGTCTTCTCCTGCATTTGTTGTTGCGTTTGAGATAGAAAGGTCAGATCATCTGCGAAGTCAAGACCGTCCAGCTGCATCCTGGCTGTCCACTGCATCCCGTGCTTCCCTTCAGAAGTTGACGTCTTCATGATCCAGTCGATCACCAGGAGAAAGAGAAAGGGTGAGAGTAAGCAACCTTGCCTGACACCGGTCTCTACTTCGAACGAGTTTATCAACTGTCCTCCATGCACAATTTTGCAGTTTAATCCATCATATGAATTCCGTATGATATTGACTATCTTCTGAGGCACGCCGTAGTGTTGGAGAAGCTTCTATGGTGCTGTCCTGTCGACGCTATCAAATGCTTTTTCGTAGTCAATGAAGTTGATGTAGAGTGATGAATTTCATTCAACTGATTGTTCTACAGTGATCCGTGGTGTTGGGTTTTGGTCGGTACACGATTTGTCCTTACGAAATCTAACATGTTGATCTCGATGTTGGGCGTCTGTGGAGTCTTTCATTCTGTTTCACAATACCCTGTTGAAGACTTTTCATGGTATTGAGAGAAGAGTGATGCCCCTGTAGTTCTCACAGTTGCTGAGATCGCCTGTCTTTGGTATTTTGACCAGAAGTCCTTTCCAGTCCCTTGGTACTTGTTCCTCATCCCAAATCTTGCTGAAGAGAATGTGGAGTATCCTTGTAGTTACCGCTACGTCTGTTTCAGTGCCTCTGCTGGAATGTTGTCTGATGCTGCTGCTTTGCCACTCTTGATTTGTCTGATGGCCATGCTGATCTCTTCAATTGTTGGTGGGCCAACATCGACTGGAAGGTTCGTGGATATCGCTTCAATATTGGGTGTGTTCAGTGGGACTGGTCGATTCAAAAATTCCCCGAAGTGTTCTATCCACCTTTTTCTCTGTTCTTTAATGTTGGTGATTACTTTGCCTTCCTTGCTTTTCACTGGTCGTTCTGGTTTACGATAATTTCCAGCCAGCTTCTTTGTTGTATCATACAGTTGTCTCATGTTTCCCTCTCTCACGGCCTTTTCCGCCGTCATTGCTAGATCTTCCACATATTTACGTTTGTCAGTTCTGATGCTCCTCTTTACTTGCTTGTTTACTTCTGTGTATTCAGCTTGCGCCTTGGCTTTCTCTTCTCTTGTTCGACTGATATTGATTGCTTCCTTCTTGTTCCTCCTTTCTTGAATCTTATACAGTGTATCAACAGTGATCCATTCCTTGTGATGGTGCTTCTTGTGGCCCAGAACCTCATGACATATTGAAGTGATTGCCTCTTTTATCCCTTTCAATTGTTCTACATAGTAGTTCCCTCTCCATTGAGTAAATCATGAAAGGCCTGGAACTTATTGCCGAGGACCATCTTGAATTTGTTGAGTTTGTCAGTATCCCGAAGAAAAGCCGTATTAAACGTTTGTGATATTGCCTGCCCCGTTGTCCAGTGCTTCTTGAGTTTCAATTTCATCTTGGCGACCAGCAAGTGGTGATCTGATGCTATATCAGCTCCTCTCTCGGTTCTCATATCCTCCATCGTCCTCCTGAACTTATTGTTGATGCAGATATGGTCGATTTGGTTTTGCGTTGTGTGGTCTGGTGAAGTCCATGTGGTTTTGTGAATGCATTTATGTGGGAATATAAGGCCGCCTATGACCAGTTTATTGAAGGCACATAGGTTTGCAAATCTCTCACCATTTTCGTTCCTTTCTCCCAGTTCGTGTCGTCCCATGGTGTCTTCATATCCAGTGTTGTCCGTTCCAACCTTGGCGTTGAAATCTCCCATCAGAATGGTCAGGTCTTTTGTTGGACATTTCTCGACGATTGACTGCAGCCTATCGTAGAATTGATCTTTAGCGTCTTCATTGTAGTCGTTGGTAGGCGCATAGCATTGGATGATGTTCATTGAAATGTCCTCTTTCTTTGTTTTGAAGGAGGCTTTGGTGATTCTTGGTCCATGAGATTTCCATCCTATAAGTGCATTTTGTGCTTGTTTGGACAGTATCTACTGATTAAAATATTATTTATTTACCGTTTCATTTTAGGCAGATTTGTGATTTATTTTACCTTATGATGGGATGTGCTGTATACTTTTTACTGATGTTTCATCTACATAAACGAGCTCCATTCGATACACATGTGCATATTATTTTGGTTCATACAATATTATTTACAATTATATCACATATTGCACAGATTATTTCCAATTCTAATCCAATCTTCAGTTTGATGCATAATTTTTGTTTCATATTAATTGGTTCGTGGCTTTGTCATGTGAGTTCTACAGTTTATTCACTTTAAAATGTAATTTAGAACAACATATATAAACGTACAATATTGTTTTCGATTAGATCCTCATCAGGCTTTACTCTAATATACAGTAATATTTATATGCATATACGAAATTTCAGAAGGCGTTTGGTAGATATAATTAATTAAGATCATGAGTTAATTGAAGCTAGACCACTATAGAAAACCTGGAAGCACTGAACAGTCGTTTCGTTCTATTGTGGGACACCTCAGCAGTGCGCATCCACGATCCCACCCGTGAGATTCGAACCAAGGACTTAATGGTCTCGTGCGCGAACGCTCAACTTCTAAACCACTGAGCTGACCGGCATCCAACGGTGTTAATGTGTAACTTCAACTAATCCACGAAATTGGGCGACACATCCATCATTGTCTTCACTGAGTTCCATACAAGGACAAAATTGCCGTCCAGTGCTTCCAGGTTTTCCATAGTGGTCTAAGTTTAATTGACTCAAGAATTCAGCTATTGAATATAAACAATCAAGTAATTTCATTGTCATATATCATAAGAAATTTGCGACGAAATTATGAAGTTGTATTATTCTGCAGTTTATGTTAATCTTGTTGTTTCCAGAATAATTAACGAGATCAGTTGCATGAGATTGATATCAACTTTATTTTCAAAACACATTCACTCGAAACTAATCTTTCAGCTGGGGAAATTATGTACAAGATCCCTGTCATGATTCGAAATAATTTAACGTTCTTGATCATTCAAAGTACATAAAGTAAATTGCTCTGATATATTTAAAGTAACGACAAATCCAAATAGGTTGTGCAATACATAACATTGGATGTTTCTTTTATGGTACTTATTGGTGAGTGTTCACCAAATTATTATCTGAAGTCCTTATGGATTATTATCTGACAAATCTATGTATTTCTCAGTAAATAAGAATCACCTTAACACACCACATAACATTTGTGTGCTCGCTTAGTCTGAATCGTTCATTGAGAACAACAATAACAGAACTTTAATTCAAGTTCTAGATGTCACTAAGTTCAAGGCTTCTAATGTTCTACTACTACGTAGCTGAATTGCATGCTATCATATGTTACATAATGTTGAATGTGGATAAAATCCGTTAGCGATTAATGAATGGGTTTGGGAACTTCTCAGAATACCGGAAACATATTGTCTTTAAGCTGTGTATGCACCCAAATATTTGAATAATAACAAAAAGTTATATTGTAAGAATTTTTAAGTGTATTAGACAGACTATTCTGCCAGATTAATTCAATGATTAGAAAATGATTAACCCACTTACTTAACTCACCGTTAGAACATATGTTGTGTAATATCAGTATTCAAGTTCTGAAAGGTTACTTGGATCAGAGATACACAATCTAGTAGAAAAAACAAAACTACAGAATAAAGTGAATTGAGGGAATGATCTAAAAATCAGCTCTCGTGCAACATATCAAATAAATGTTAGAAAACGCCTAGTTTACCGTTACGTTCAGCGGTTTGATTCAAATACATGTACACACTCTTTCTATAAGTATACCTAGCATAAAAAGGCTAAGAATTGGCAAGAAGCTGAAATAGACAAACTGAATAAAGTGTACACGCAATATGAATATACAAAAATATATTCTTCTGAACTAGAAGAGAATTAATTATAAGCTAAGGGCTTGAGAAAGTGCGTAACAGACTTCATTGAATAGCACGTCTTGTTTACCGTCTCTCATTTACCAATTGGACTTTAGTTGGTATGTGAGCACGGGGACAAGATATGGCTGAATCCCAACGACCTATCATTTCATGATTACAGGAAACAGTGATGGTTTTTTATTGCTGTGTAGCAATGTAATTGGTTAACGATAGAGGAACATGAAACCCATATATTCTAGCGAGCTTTATTTATTCCAACAAATCAACTCCTTACAAAATATAAACAATAAGTGTTATATCCGATTGAGAATAATGAATGGTAACTGTCGGAATCTATTTCTTGAATATTACTATACATATACTTTTTATCGTATAATTGTTAAGCAACTAAACTATTCATATTCGTGTTCCTCTTATCATGAGGTTTATTTTGATCTATAACTGTCCTCATATGATTTACCATTCTTGAGTTATTCCCAGTTTATTAATTACAGTCTCCCACATTCACAGCCACGTCTGGCTAAATCTTGTACAAATGTTGTTTCCTATTTCATATTACGATGTAATCTGTTTGGTTTGTATATAAACCCAGTATGTTTGAAATAAATGATTCATATCGCGGAGTCTGAGAATGGTGTTGTGGACTTAACAGGCAGGGATTGCGGGAAGCAGGACCGATGAGGACTCTAGTCTGTCTGTACAGGTTTTATGCATCATTAGTCCGGTCGAAAATTCACTGTTCTCTAATTGGCGGTGTCATCACGTTATAGGACACAGGGCACAAGTTATAACAATAGGTAATAATGGTGATCATATTGTAGTGATTTTGGAGATGAGTAATTCAGTAGAAATACTATGGCAGTAATTAGATTAAAAATGTGTATCGAAGTGATCACAGAAACTTCAGCTAACAAGTAACAACTGTATTGAGATCTCATTTGAATATATAGGTAAAGTGGCATATTTCATGACTTCGTACCACTCTTTTTTTGGTTCAAAATAACCCTTTTCAGCTTTCGGTATCTGCTTGTATTCACTTAATTCTAATAATGATACACAATTTGCATTTATTCCTTGTTAATTAGATTGGATTATACCTTTTTTCACCATGGAGTTGGTTAATTATTCGGGATCAGAATGACGTAATATCCATTATACACGCGAATAACACCTTCTCATATCATATGATAATGATCTGCTTGACTATAATCATGATGATGTTTATTTTAAATAGGAAAAGTCGGCATACAATACAACAATCTCGTTTTTCTGAACACAATCTACAAAGATCCCCTGTGAAACAATGTTATTCATGAACAGTTAACGAGTATCGATCTATGAACTGAAATTGCAGATAACGTTTTTAAATAAATGTGGTTGTGAATTTCTGTAGTTCTTTGTCACCTTACAATCTTATTGATAGATAAACTTATCAAAGTAACTTCAAAATGATCTTTCAAGGATTTATTGTTTTGCAGATAAATATATACATCAAAAGTTGATAATTCTTTTTAAAAAAATAATAAAAACACTGGTTTTGTGTGACCATTGTTCTTTCCCCCCCCCCTTATGCTAGATTTTCAACAGTTGTTTAATGAAATGAAGAATAATGACAACTTCTTTGCTTGTCGGCAGTTCACGAAAACTTCACAAGATTCTCTTGCATTAGAATGTATTATTTGAAATGGAACTCATAACTTTATTATTTCTGTCAAGCAAAACAAAGTTGTTGTGTAACATGATCAGTTAGAACTCTTAATTTACATACTGGTTTGACTAATTAAAATCTGCATATGACTAGTCGTTCCCCAGACAATATGTGACGTCAATGTACATTCTCACGGAATTGCAAAAAAATTATAGTAGTCGCTATCATACCAGATCAATTCTATTGCCTCATGCATTTTATTCAGGTCGTTTCAGTCCTATTAAATTGAATCACTTTCTCACGATCGAATAGGTTTCAAAATTTCACGTGCTGAATATTCATAATTTTTATCTCAATGATTGAGTGCCATGGTAACCACAGTAGAACAATACCAAACCATGATGACGAGTGTTTGGGAGGAATTGAAACAGTCGGTCGATTGTTAAGATGCGTCTCCTCTTAACACAACAATCAACATGGAACTCAACTAACAAATCCCAATCACAGTCAAAATCCGTGTTCTCAATTTCACTCCCAATGATAATTAGAAAAGGATTAGAGGATTGAAAGTAAAATCTTGAGGTATTTGCATAGGGATTGCACAAATCACCAGAGGATGACCAGTTAGTTATGTATTGAAATTCATCAAGTGCAAAGCGTACCACTTTTGTATCAACCAGTAATCCTAGTGAATAAAAGAGAGAAATCCAGTAACTCGTTCGCCTGATACGTAACTGATAAGTCTGTGGAGAGTAAACTAAGAGTTAAAGACTGAATAACAACATCTATATGTTAAAATGTACACATCTATTAATCAGAGAATGGGAAGAAATGTATTTTTGGAATTTCACTTCTACACATGATCAACTGTTACTTTTGAATTATCAGAGTATTCAGTACTGATGATAATATCTGGTTCAATAAATAATGACTGATATGAATATTTCGTAACATTCTCCCTTGTGTTAATTTCTTCCTGTCTTTCTTATACTAGGTATGTATTATTATTGTGATCGGCAAGGATTTGAAGATAATCTAATTACCACAAATTCATCTCATAAACAATCACATGATCTATACAATCACATTCTAGTGTGCATTCTAGCTGAACCAGATGCTCCACTGCTAGGTCTGCATTCATTTGTTATGCCATTAAGAGCAAGCAATTTCCATCCTAATCAATTAAGAACTATTCTGTTTCTAGGTGATATAAAATTTCTACAAAGAGAGTGGTCGAATATAGCGAATTTCCCAAAAGTTTACACACTTGCCGGTAGTGCATTATCTAGAGCTGATCTACGAGCTGCACGCATACAATATTCATCAGTTTGCGTCATATTAGGATCAAGAGGTACAGTGAAGGTTGACGACCCATATATGTTGGATAAGGAGGTGATCTTGTGCACATTGAATATTAGAGCAATGCAATTTTCTCCTTATCATCGTCATAAAACATTTGTACATAATGTTCATAAACGTCGGAGCGGTTCAGAGATTCCATTGATTACAGAATTAATGACAGACAATAACATACACTACTTAGATCCAGATCATTCAGGTGGATTACAGATCGCGGCTTCATTAACTGCACCATTTGCTAAAGGCATAGCATTCACAAATTCTGTTCTTGATGTGTTGGCAAGTACAGCCTATTTTGATCGTAATTCAATGACACTAATACGTCATCTTGTGACTGATGATGCAATCAGTGAGAGTGTATGTAGAGACAACGACGAGATAATAGTGTGTGTGTATCGTTTCCAGCTGATACTGTCCTGTTTTGTCGGTAAGTCAACAAGCAATCGTATATCGGAAACCATTCTAACAGACCATTATATACATTTTAACCTAACTCTATACCTACCACAGACAGTCCTCTGGAAGTGGTTGTTTGACCAACAGATACATAAAAAGTAAATCTTATTTCTTCATATTGACTGTGTGAATTCAAATTAATGACTGTATTGAGACCACGTATGACCATGTCGGAGACGCAGCATACATTGTTGATATTAGATTGTAAAATTTTAACTAGGGCAGCCTATTGTTCTCTCTGACGCAACATTCAGACGTTAAAGTCTGCACTATATAGTTTAGAACGTCATTTCAGAAGACCAGGAACAACATTTCATAGACTCAGACTGCATGAACTTATGGCACGTGGAGAAGTGCTGGTAGTCTAGATGGAAGGGGTATCAAGAGTTGAGGAAGATGTTCTACTGTGAAAAGAATATCTCAGGTGCTTCTCGGGATATGAGGGCGCTCGTAATCTCCCGGCTGCTCGAAATGAATAAGGATATTTCTTTTTGAGAAAACTGGAAAGAAAGTCATGTTAGTGGTAGTTTTAGCGACGTTGGAGAGTGATCTCAGAGCTTTAAGAGCATCTGATTGAGACGGATCACTCAGGGCTTTGTGATGAGGAATTTCGGTGCGTTGGATTCGCACTTGAAATCGATTTACCACCGAAGATGGAGATTCATGGGGCAGGGTGACGGCCAACCTTTTGTAACCCATTCCTTTCGTTGTGAGAATGCAGCAGTGCCTCTGATGTTGGTTGCTGAGGGAGACACCTTACCGCTATCAAACCTCTCTACAGTCGGCAGTGCAACTTTTTACTCAGGACTCAGGTCGCTGCTTCTAGTCTTACCGGTACACAATCAAGCCGCCTAGCACCGTAGGTGCCAAAGTAACATGTGTTCCAAATAACCTTGTTCCGCTGAGTCATTACAACAGGCAAGTCCGACCATTGCAAAAAAGTAGCAGACACGGTAGTGAAATTTGTAGTTGTGGAGATAGAGATTAATGTACAACAAACCGTGTGAAATAAAGTAACGAACAAACCATACGTGTTTTCAGCGCTTCGGGGAAGAGTTACTGAAGGTTGTGGAACTGGTAATCACAAGTGAATCAAGACTCACCAGAAAAATTAAATAAGTAGCCCGGAATTTCACTAAATCTACTACAATTACTAACTATAAGAACCCGGTTTTTGATAAGTTAGGAATAGCAAAAATGCTGTTTGGATATCGTGATGAGGAAAGTGATTAGTTAGCTCCAGAATGCTACAATTCTGATGTGCAAACGTACTGTTTACACAGAGTTCGTTGGCCCATAATACATATAATTAGAAGGCTGTGAATTTTTCAGTAAGTCATGGCAGATAATAACAGTAATGGCTGACCAATCGTAACCTGGTTAAGATATTAAAAATGGTTTCAAAATGGTCGTGGACGGAATAGAAGAAGCTTTTACTTAACGAGCTTCCGTCTCTAGTAGCAATGGATCACCAATACCTCCAAGCAGGAACCCATATATATTACCGATGAAAGTCGAAAAAGAAATTGGTAAATCATGGTAAGATACCATCCTTAGTCCTCAAGAACATGTCAAGTTTCCTCTTAAGGGACTCTTGGGAAGTTAATTGGGCTAGGTCAGACGGCAAAGAATTAGAGCATTGCACAACTCTTAAGGAGTAGAAGTGTTTATAGTCCATTCTGCTGTGTTGTGTCTCCAGTTTCTCGGTGTTCCCCCTTAGGTTTTCATTGGAGCTAAACTTAAGTAAGTATTTGATGGGATGTCTAGATGAGTTAAGGATACTGTAAGCCATTAGAAGGTCACCTCTAAAACCACTGTGCTTTAATTGGTAAAGATTTAGTGACTGGAGGTGCTTGAGGATGGCCCTACACATTCGTTATAGGGCTTGCATTCAAGTCCCCGAACTGATTTCGTGGCTTGCCGATAGATACGTTTCAGATTGTCCTTATCTTTTTGCAGAGAGGGAGTAAGTACTATATGTCCATACTCTAAATGGGGATCAGTAATACCGTTGAAGTGTAATGCACACCAGTGCAAGGTTTGCTCGAAAGGCATTTTTGTCACAGTTAACGTAAGACTTCAAATTGTAGGGTACCGGCACTCCTAAGAGGAGTTTCCTAAGTTTTAACTGTAGTCTGCAACATGTCTCAGATGGATTACTTTACACTTTTAAGTGTTAAAGGTAAGTCCGTTGTCATCTGCTCAACTTTTAAGTCAAGTCGGATCCTCCTGAACTGCCGATTCCTCCTCTTGGTTGCATACTTATCTGCAGAGTTTCACATCACCAGCGAAAAATAATAAGTCAGACAATACCTGTTGTGGGAGGTCGTTTATATTGTAGTGACTCACGTTTATCACGAGAACACGACTGGTTTAATAAAAACAATTATTATTATAACCAACTGTACCAGTGTTTGTTTTAACGTGCTTTTGTTTGACTGTGCTAATGACAGCTATATTTTGCTTCCATTCTTTCACTTACACTTTGATTGTAACTTCGCGCGAATTCGGTTACCTTCTGTAACCAAGGTTGTATCCTGGCACGATCTCGGTATCCTTTCGATGCCACGAGATCGCCAGCAAATAAACCTCGACTTGGTCCATTAATTGCCTTCTGATACTCGGCTTCTCGGGGATTTTGTGGAGTCATTTGGAACGAGCTTCTTACGCCTTCTGATTCGCTTGGCACGTGTTTCTTGGTAGCGGTGTTCATAGTTAATCTCGACTAGACACCACGCTACAATTGGTAATCCCAATTCGAATACAATTGGTGACCCGTATTTTGGAACACGCCTCATCCTCTGATCAAATCTTCCAAAGAAGCCAATTCGGTGAGTCTATGATTTATCTATCCACGTCTGTCGTATATTTTCATATTTTTAATATATCATATATGCGACATGACGGATAGCGATAAGAATAGTATTAATATAATAGACTCACACGTATGTGTACCGAATCCTTGTCACTTTTTATTCGCGTGATGATGAATTCCACGCTTTATTCGAGAAATGTTACCCTATTAACGATTCTCCTCGCTGACCCGGCTGCTTGGTACGGAATGCATACGCATTAGCATATCCGTCTACCACCCAGCACCAAATGGTTAAGTTGAACGGTTTCACTGCCAACTTAAAAGTGTTCTACGAGCACACGAAAACGGCAACTGGTACGAAACCTTACCGCTCGTTCTTTTAGGTATCAGAACGAGTTTAAAGGCAGATATCCAATGTTCCGCCGCTGAACTTGTATACGGTACGACATTGCGTCTGCCCGGGGAATTCTTCACACCACGGAGCAGACCTAATTTCGCTAAATCAGACTACGTCCAACGACTGTCTGCATTTATGAGAACGCTGCCTCCGGTGTCAACTCGAATACAACATCGACAGGTCGCTCTCCCTCGAGAGTTATCTACCTGTTCACATGTTTTCATACGAGTAGATTCGGTACGCAAACCTTTGCAACAACCTTACGAAGGCCCTTTTCACGTGATCGTTCGTCACGAAAAGACCTTCAAGGTTGATCGACACGGCCGCGTCGAGATCGTCAGCATTGATCGTCTCAAACCAGCACACGTCGATGACAGTGCCCTATCTGGTAACCTGAGATTCAATGCTAGACCTATCAAACCTACTAGCGGGATCCTCAAACCATCTTCAGGTCCCACGCTAGATACATCTGAGACCTCATTCTCACGTCCCAGTCAACAGCACGCGTCATCTGCACTGTCTACGGATGAGATGACAGTCTCACGTCCAGATCAGCAGACCACGCCGCCCTTGACTTCGGATGAGATTGCAGGCTCACGCGACGCGAACGAGACTGCCGTCTCACGTTCCGGTCGCCGAGTACGGTTACCCGTACGCTTCCGCGAATAGTCGCACAGTCAACAACCGATACGGTGTAGGATTACTCCTATACTACACGTATGCTACACTCTTCTTTTTTGATTTTCTTTTTGTTTCCTGAGCCCACGCCTTCGACCATCTCCGTTTGGTTCCGTCGACTTCAGTCAACTTTGGCGAAAGCTGGATTGGCCACCCACGCACTTGTCAACGTACTCAGTCGATATATATTGGTTTCGAATGCTTGGTCTCGAACTTGGTCGTTACGGTAACTTCTGGTCTTTTGGCTCAACGTGGTTTCGTCCTAGGTCTGCAGCGTTTCTGGTGCGCACTCCTACGAACGCCCTCTTCAGATTCTGGATACAAACCACTCTGGTAGCATGCCGACTCAAGCAACAAATACAACACATCGCTTCTGGTACTGTTCTCCGAAAACGACCTTCGTTGGCAACTCGACGATCAACGATCGCTTTCCTGTTCGCCAATTCTTCCGTCCTACAATCGCTCGTCAGCCGATCAGTCCCACAATTCAAACCGCTATTTATCGAAAGTGTAAACCCTTTCTAGCGGGGGGCTCCTGTAGTGACTCACGTTTATCACGAGAACACGACTGGTTTAATAAAAACAATTATTATTATAACCAACTGTACCAGTGTTTGTTTTAACGTGCTTTTGTTTGACTGTGCTAATGACAGCTATATTTTGCTTCCATTCTTTCACTTACACTTTGATTGTAACTTCGCGCGAATTCGGTTACCTTCTGTAACCAAGGTTGTATCCTGGCACGATCTCGGTATCCTTTCGATGCCACGAGATCGCCAGCAAATAAACCTCGACTTGGTCCATTAATTGCCTTCTGATACTCGGCTTCTCGGGGATTTTATGGAGTCATTTGGAACGAGCTTCTTACGCCTTCTGATTCGCTTGGCACGTGTTTCTTGGTAGCGGTGTTCATAGTTAATCTCGACTCGACGCCACGCTACAATATAAATCAAGAAAAGAAGAGATCCCAGCATTGAACCCTGGGGGACCCCACTAGGACATTCCATAGCC